ATCTATCTATCTATCTATCTATCTATCTATCTATCTATCTATCTATCCATCTGCCCGCATTGGGAAACTGGAACTAATTAGGTATCCCTAGCTCTTTCATTAAGAACTCTTCTAACAAAGCTGAATCCTAAGATAAGGAACCCTGTGTGGACAGAAAAGTGTAAAGCATGATGTGTTTTCTGTCTTGCTATGGATAATTATCACCTCCACAGGAGAAAAGGCTGGCTTCATGCTGTTGTTTTACACCCTCTTCTATCCGGTTCCATGTTTTAGAGGAGCAGAGATGAGCTGCTGTGACCCGGGTCCTCTTCAGGGTTTCATTGGCTGACTGTGTCTGTGGGGCTTCTGTTTTTAGAGCAGCAGCGTTCGTCCCCAAAGCGCCGCAGCTGAGCCCAAGATGGCCGCCTGCTCCAGGGACCGGTTATACTTAAGCCTTTCAAATGCCCACACACCAGCAAACCCAGCCTCACCCAGAGGAACTCACTCAGAGGAACTCACCCAGAGGAACTCACCCACAGGAACTCACCCACAGGAACTCACCCAGAGGAACTCACCCAGAGGAACTCACTCAGAGGAACTCACCCAGAGGAACTCACCCAGAGGAACTCACTCAGAGGAACTCACTCAGAGGAACTCACTCAGAGGAACTCACCCAGAGGAACTCACCCACAGGAACTCACCCAGAGGAACTCACACAGAGGAACTCACTCAGAGGAACTCACACAGAGGAACTCACCCAGAGGAACTCACCCAGAGGAACTCACACAGAGGAACTCACTCAGAGGAACTCACCCAGAGGAACTCACTCAGAGGAACTCACCCAGAGGGACTCTCAGGTCCACAGGTCCAACAGAAACCTCCATCAACAAAAAACAACAACGTGTAGTGAGCTGTCAGGATCTGCTTCTGGACTGGGGCGTTCAGCAGCCTTCTGCTGGATGAAAGAGTTCAAAAGACCCCCACCAGGGGACCCCTGGTCCTCCTGGTCCTCCTGGTCCTCCTGGTCCTCCTGGTCCTCCTGGTCCTCCTGGTCCCCCTGGTCCTCCTGATCCTCCTGGTCCTGGTCCTCCTGGTCCTGGTCCTCCTGGTCCTGGTCTTCCTGATCTTGGTCCTGGTCCTGCTGGTCCTGGTCGTCCTGGTCCTCCTGGTCCTGGTCCTGCTGGTCCTGCTGGTCCTGCTGGTCCTGCTGGTCCTGGTCCTCCTGGTCCTGGTCCTGCTGGTCCTGCTGGTCCTGGTCCTCTTGGTCCTGGTCCTGGTCCTCCCTTAGGCAGCAGTCCCCTCCCAGCCCTTCCATCTGTTCTGGAAATGGCTCTGACCGTCCCTCTGGATGACAGAACACATCACAGAGTCTCTTTATGCTGGTAATGAACCCTCTGCTCCTCTAACCCACTTACCCAGAGCCATTCAGTCTCCAGGAAAGTGGCAGAGGCCATGAAGCCCCTCACACAGGAGCCAGATCAGACCTGCTCATTACCCAAAATAAGAAACCGGGGAGACAAACACTTTAAGATGAACTGTCCTCAGCACCAGGAATTAGATTTAGCTTCACCAAAAGAAGCTCTCAGCCAGGGGTCAGGGGTTAGGTCTGGGTCTGGGTTAGGTCTGGGTCTGGGTTAGGTCTGGTCTGGGTCTGGGTCCTGAGCATGGTCTGGATCTGGGTCTGGGTCTGGGTCCTGAGCCTGGTCTGGGTAGGGGAACCCCAGGGGAACCAATCAGGGACCAGGGGGGACCCTCAGACAGGGGACACACAGGAAGTGACCTGAAACAAGGGGGTGTACCTTTCAAAATAAAACAGGAAATGACCAGAGCGAGACATGAAAAAGCCCCCCAGGTGGGACAGTTTACAGATTTCTGTTGGTTGGAGACTTTCTCCATTTTGACTGGGTCCCTCTGGGGGATGAGTGGTGATTGGTGGACAGGCGGGGGCCGCCGGCTGGTGATTGGTGGACAGGCGGGGGCCGTCCTGCTGGTGATTGGTGGACAGGCGGGGGCCGCCGGCTGGTGATTGGTGGACAGGCGGGGGCCGCTGGCTGGTGATTGGTGGACAGGCGGGGGCCGCCGGCTGGTGATTGGTGGACAGGCGGGGGCCCTCCGGCTGGTCTTTAGTCCTCATCACAGCCTCCTGAGCTGCCATGGCTGTCACATGTGGGCTGGGGGGTGATGTGGCTGAGCTATGAGCCACTTCATCCTCTGTCTCGGAGCTGATTTAGGCTTGGGGGGGGGCATAATATAGAGCTGCTCTGCTCCGTCTCATCTCCATTCAGGGGAGCATTCATAATGAGAACAGTCCAGATCAGAGCATCCCTCATGGAGGATGGCTGCCCCCCGGGCAGGAAACAGGGAGGTGGACACTC